GTACGATCCAATTCTTTGCAACTGCGTTTATGAACATGAAGCAGAACGTGTATCGTCGCTTCAAGATAAGAATTCACAAAAGCCAAGCAGGCGCAACACGATTGTGTCGGTTAATCGGAAAGAAGAAGGACAGGACGAGACGCATCACACACTAGAACCTCCTGATCTGATGCCACGGTCACCGGCATCCACAACTTGGGCTAAATTATCCCCGGAGCGCACGATATCTATGGACACATTGGAGATACTTGGTGCCATCGAACGCCCAGATACGATTGAAAATTTATCTCGTCGTCAGTTGGAAAAGGAAATTCATCGATCACCGTCCCCTATAAACGCTACCACGAGGCCACATCGTAAAGAGACATCGAAACCCTTACCCAATCAGGAAATAGCCCCTGTCACTCAGAGCGCTGAGCCGTTAACACCCGCGAGCTCATCACCCAACCAAACAACATACATAGTACCTATCGCCTACCCGAGTATTTTATACTATCCGGTAGCACAACCTACAACATACACCGATTTCAGGTCACAGGCAGGTGTTCCACCGATATCTGCCAATGGCGTATTGGTACAATCAAATCCAACGTCGATAATGCCTGTGCAGCAGTTATGTCCACCACCAATAGTTTACGGTTCGTGTGTCACGCCCACTCTATCCCCACCGGTCTTTCAACAAACAGTGTTTTTGCCCAGCACATTTCATCTGTTGTCATATCAGGCTCTGTGAGCTGAAATTTGATCTTCCACGGATTTTGTTGTTTCATTTCTGTGTCAACCTCGAATTTTTACACTCCATTAATTTTTTTTTGTAGTTATTGTTATCCACCCTTACGCTTTTTTTTGACTTTTGAGTGTCTTGTTCAATGCACATTTTTTTAAAAACTATTTTAATTTAATTAATTTAATTTTTAATTTTCATTTCATTACATTTTTTTTTAATAAATGACTGTTTATCATCTACTGCACCGAACAAGAGTAACCACATGGTTTTATGTATTTGTTCATAGTTCCTGAGCGTTAAGTGTAATGCAATATCTTATATATCAGTATGCTTTACTTTGGTTCAATGCTGTGCCGAGCTATGATACTGATCACAAATGATTTGTGAAACATACTCTCTCCCTCTATATATATATCTTTTTCAGTTTAATATGTCCGAAATCCAATTTAAGATATCCCAATGTGAATTTAAGATGTCATGTTGCTATGTGGATAGTACCTTGCACGGTACGGAATGAAAACGTTCGATGGAATCCCTGTTTACCCAGATCCATGTGCGTCCTACCTGCATGCTGATCCATGGCCCCCGAAAATATCGTCCCACGCTCAACAAAAATATTCACCGACGATGAACTTGTCTGCTTGTTTGCACACAGATAGGACAATGCAACCCACAATTCGGTCAGAGATATACCACCATGTACAAATCGACGAAGGCTTTGTTCAATACAAAACAAAAAAGAGCGCATTAGGGTTTGCTGGGGTCTCTCACACGAAGACCACATTTCTCACTTAACCAAGGAAACGAGGAGTGCTCACCACGAACGTTCATGGTCTCATAAAGTGTTCTCGGTACGAAAAGGGTGGTAGTGAACGACGTTGAATGGGGGTTGAACGTTTGCAATGTACAGCACTGAAAGAGACCGTGAATTAGGCTCGGCGGCGTGATAACTGGGATAGCATCTATGCTGTCTTGTGCAAAATGTGTATGACTGTTATTATATACCACGGAGAGGGGGCACGGCAATATGTTTCGTGTGTGTAATGTGTGTGTGCGGAGTGGTGAGTACATTTAGCTGTGAGTCAGATGACTGCCACACACGTTAGGTTCTTGTGTCTGATCTTGACCGCATTCGATAAAACACTCAGTTGTTTGACTCGCGGGATATTTGACATTTTCAACAGCTTCGGTTGCATTACAATGACTATACCATTTCAAGATAGCTTTGAGAAACTATAATTTTCATTTGCGAAACCGTCAGTTGGAATTGAGAAACCGTCACTTAGATTTGAGAAAGAAATGCTGTGGTTGGATCCGCTTCCGTTCAGCGCACCTCATTGGTCAATTGATCACATTTTTTCTACCCCCGGATCGACCACCTGTCTTCCCACGCTCTTTCTGTGCTGAAATGAGGCAGACCTCAGTCGTGCATCTTGTCGAGCTCTGTGACGGACGTCGAGTCGGTGGGTCGGTGAAGCCATGCTTGTGACAACCAAGTGGGACA